GGGGGGGGACATATCAGAGAAAAAAATTTAAATAGTAGAGCCTATAAAAGTAGCAAATAATAGAAACAATTATTTTAATAAGCTAATGTTTGGCAATTTCTAGGAAAATTACGGATCTGACCCTAAAACGCCACGTCTCGGTCACGTAATTCCATGTCATGCATTTAATAGTTTCTGAAATTATTCCGTTTGATTTTTCTCTGAAGTTGATATACGAGAAACTGCAAGAAGAATGCTGAAGGAACCAGTAAGGAGACGAACCCCTCGTTTCTGCGTCATACAGCAGCTAAAACAACGGCGAAACAGGTGTCTGGACTTTGAGCTAGTACCTATATCTGGAGTACGGTGTAACATCACTGACATAGAATTCATACTACTCGTGATACTATTTGTTTGTAGAATGACCATTAAGTGCTTACTCCAGAGTAATTGAATGTCTTCGACTGAAACGTTCATTGAAATTTGAATCTGACTAAAAAACGTCGGTGAGATTATGTCGAGGGGCCGAATATTTTCATATCTATAATAACCAACTACTTACCAATTTTCAGTAGGTCGAATTACCTACAATCTTCCGGTTTTCCACACGCCACCCATCGATCCAGCTCGGATTTGCTGACAGCATTGGACTGCAGAGTGGTTCTTCGAAGGCAACCGAATTCCATAATTGCTATAATCAGCAAACTAAGAAAAGTTGGCCTTTGAACTAACCACGGGAATTATAACTTACTTACAATTTTTAAGTAGGGTGATTTACATAATCTGGCCACTTTTATTATTCTTTACACTTTTTCCCAGTTGGTGTTGGTGATGCCATTGGGAAATGTCTCTCGGTTACCCCGCCCAAGGCTTGGGCTCACTCCCACTCCCTATACTCGTTCGCCGTTGGTCGGGCGGGGGGTTAGCGATGATATTATAACTCATTCGGTGTCTTCTCGCAAGGTTTGAGTACGCGACGCAACTTGCCCTCGTAACATTTTTATTTAACAAAAATATTGGGATCTTATTTGTTCCCTGACATGCCCCGGCCGTCCTCTGGCCAAAAATCAGGTGTGCGTGAACCTGCGGGGCGCGCTTCACACTTTCCCCAGACGACCCCACGACATAATCCTA